CTCTTACACACACACACACACACACACACACGCACGCACGAAGACACACATCTATGTGCCTACATGCACACCACACTTGGTTTTGTGATCTTCAACTAGAAGCAGACTTCTTGACTGACTGAATTTAATAGATAATTATGTTGGTCTATCAATAACCATAGCATTCTTCACAATGTGCACTGAAACATAGTTGATTGTGAATTGTGTTGGACTAAGAATTATTAAATTATTGTATGACAATTATCATTTCATGGGTTATGTGGAGGATAATGATTGTTTTGTGTCATGTCACCATTAGCCCTTAATAGAAATTACGAGATTTGATGGAGAATTATCAGTGTGGGAAGATTCTCTTATTATCTTTTAAGTTTTCAACTGACTTACATTACATTCAATTTTGCTGATTGATGAGTCTTTTTTGTTACTGGTGTTCTTTTTATTGGAATTGTAATGCTCATCAATCAGGGCAAAAGCAAAGCTAGTGTATGCTTGTGAATGGAATGCCCATGCCATTGAGGCTCTTAAACAGAATCTTCAAGCCAATTCTGTCTCTGATCGTTGTATCATACTTGAAGGGGATAATCGAATTACCGCACCCAAGGTAAATATCTGAAGCTCTTGGATGACCAGTTAATGGTTGCTATTCTATGGCCAGTAATCTTTTGAGTATATTCCTCGTCAGACCAAAAATGCAGTTATAACATCACCAGTGAAGAGCACCAACAGTAAATCATGATTTTAATGTTAAAATGTTGATACTCATTCCTCAGTTAAATGTATATGTTTGAATTTATTTTATTTTACATTTTTAAAATTGCATTTGTTGTTTTGGAGTCAAAATTTCTGGCTCAATTGCCTGATTGAGGACAGCATATGAAGAAATACTTCTTCATGAAATGGCCCAGCTTGGATTTTTTATTTTATTGGCTATTCAAATGGACTAAAAGTATCATCTTTCCATGGCAACTTGAGCCCTCACCACCAGAATAAACTATGTGCTGATTGATGCATGATGATTATTTTCCTACAGGGAGTTGCAGATCGAGTTTGTCTTGGTCTTCTTCCATCAAGTGAGGCTAGCTGGTTTACTGCTGTGAGGGCATTAAGGTGCTTTATGTTGATGTTATTACTTGTGTTACATTACACGTGCACTCTCATTTTAATGATGGTACTAAAAATGCAGGAGTGAGGGTGGAATATTACACGTGCATGGGAATGTGAAGGATACAGAGGAGGAATCGTGGACTAAACATGTTTCAAAATCGATATCCGAAATCGCTAGATCAGAAGGTATGACTTTTCAGTCTTATGTGACATAATCTTACGACTTACAGTTCATGATTGCGTAATGACCGTGGTCCAAGGACCACTCATCTAATAACTTTTTGGATTTAAACTATGTGATCTTAAAAAACTTAAGCTCAAATTGCTAATAGTGATTGACTTAGACTCTTATTTAAGACTCACATTCACATTCAATGTAGGATTGAATATCACAATGGCCCTAAAACGATTATTGTTGTTTGCAGGTCATTGTTGGGAAGTGACTGTAGAGCATGTGGAGAGAGTGAAATGGTACGCCCCGCACATCCGCCATCTTGTTGCTGATGTTAGATGCAGACAGATTCATGCCTGAATTTTCATGTAACAAAATAGTCTCTGGGAAATAACTTGGGGGTGGGCATATGGGCAGATTTTGTAAATTTGGGGGGGGGGTTTTGTCATAGTAATCCATTTTACCCATTCATGGCCGATACATCTGTCACAACACACAAGCGCCAGTTGTCAATACATTTTCTGTTCTAAAAAAGTTGTTCTCATAAAGATCCAAAGAAGGCTAGCAAGTTGTCCTGTGGGCCATGGCCCATGGTCCATCAATTATCAATGTCTTCTATCATCATGATGATGAAAGTTAAAAAAAATAATAATAAAAAATTTGACGTTTATGCATTATTAGTGAATCAAACATTGTCATTTTATTAATAAATAAATTTAAAATATAAATATTATATTTAAATATTTAATTTATTAGTTGGTCAATTATTTTTTGTTTAAAGAGTAAGTTTAAATTCTCTCTCTTAATTATTAAAAAAATTAAATATTAAATTTGTACATATTTATGATAGCATATAAATATAGTACTCGAATAATATATTAAATATAAATAAAAAATTTTAATAAGAAGAGGTATGCATATGTATTATTACGTACATATTCTTTGATTTTTTTTGTGAAAATAAAGGAAAAAAAAAACAAAAGTCATTGAGAAACATTTGAAAGTTTTGACTTTTTTTTTAAAACTTTTTGTTAATACTTATTTAATTTAATCAAAGCAAGATCCACGGACACGTGTCCCTTTTTTTTAATGTTTTATCATCTAAAGGATATTTAAAAAATTAATATATGTCAGCTCTCGTGAGGCCTTGGTGACTTATCACCCTGTGGGGTCCACTCTTTATCCATAAGTGCAACTAGAAATCTTAGATACATTAAATCTCAATGTGTCGGTGGCCACGCCGGACGAGGTTGGTCCAGCCATTTTGCTCGGCTCCCCTCGATTTCTCACATCTACCCCTAAGGCGTCGGCACCAAAAGCCCCAAAACAAAAGGAATATTAGGGTTCTAGGAGGGGCATTGTGGGAAAACTAAAAGGACTAACTTTGTTCATTTGTTGAACCGCTGGTTGCTTAAAGCCTCCAAACTCTTTCTTAATAATTATAATGACATTGACATTAGCTTTTAGCTTTGTCCCCTTTGGATTTCAATAATATAAAGTTGGATAAAGGAATTTCTCATATGCCATTACCAATTATATTATATTTTTTTCATCTTGAATTTCTTTTAATATTTTTATTAAAATTAAGGTAAAAATTTTAATATGGACATTCTTTTATAAGATATCCCGAAATGGAAAATATATATATAAAAAAAGATAACGCAAATCGGACGAAAAGAGTACTAAGTTTCCATTATAAAGAAAAATGCAGCTTTCACCTTATTTGGACCTCTTGTTTTAAGGGTTTAAAGTGTACCTCACTGAAAGGGCAGATGTCTCTCAGTGGTAGGCTAGTACGCTGCTTTTCCTTCAATCCCAGAGAATCTTATTGTGCTTTGTTTCTTTTTACTTGCATGGTGAATAAGCTTCCCAATCTTCAAATTAAGACCAGCAATTCCTTTGTACCCCACTTGAAAGGGAAAGCTACGATGGCTTTTCTCTTTTGCTGATGGATGTAAAGAGGAAACCAAAGAGCATAACAGTTTCAAGTTTTTGATTCATTCCAGAAGCATTTGAATGTGGTCCATGTTGCAGAGCTCCTTTTGTTTGTCACGAGATTCATGCCTTTTGCTTTGAGAAAGAAGGATCATGGTAGAGATAATAACAAGAGGCATGTGCTCAAACGTTGGTTTTATCTGTTATGTTTAGCTATCATCCTCAAAGTCAATCTCATGGCATATAAATATTGCTGAATCTGTACACATTTCAGTGCATCTTTAGCTGAAATCCAGCATTCTTACATCCAGATCCTGCATTGTAATTAATAACCAAAACAAGTACCATACACGTTGTTTCTGTCAGTTTTGAAATGGAATAACAAAGAAAAAAATGAGTTATCTTGTAAATTAAACAGCTTCCCAGAGTAGAAATAACTGCAGAATTCACCAATTCCTTTTTCAACGTTTTAGCATGTTTCTGCATTGTAAAGGTATTACTATACCTAAGGAAAGAACAAAGCTGGTGGGGTAGACAGGAGAATTTAACGGGAGGGTGCAATCTTTTAACAGAAGAACTGGTTAAATTGCTATTTACCTTCCAAATATTTCTAGTAGCTTTGCCATAAAAGTTTTATTCTGAGTCTGACCAGGGGCTTGAGTCTTTGCTAGTGTCCAAGATCCTTCAAGATCACCGTTGGATCAGCTAGCTCTGGGCCCTCTGTCAATCTTTTCTACTTTGCATGCAGAGAGTTACAGTCTGTATACATATATATATATATATATATATGGCTTTATGAATCGTAACTGCTAAGCATTTTGCCATTTTCTGTTGATAACTCTTACAAGTGTTGCCAACTTTTTTACACAATCAAGATTAAAAGAAGAGTGACTCTCTTCAGCAGTAAATGCTGATATTAATTACAAGTGTTAAAAAAAAGGGTAAAACTTTTCAAAACTAGGGCCATTTTGATTGCCAAATTTGTCACTGTCTGAATTATTTAAGCAGCACCTTACTAAGGATCCAAAGCAAGGTCAGTGACCTGCAGTGAGAGTAGTGAGGAAATGGGTGCCGCCAACGTTCTGTTCTTCCTTGCTTTGCTTTCCTTTTCAGCTGTGTCTACATTTGCAGAGAATGAGGAAGACCCAGGCCTTGTTATGAACTTCTACAAGGATACATGTCCTCAGGCTGAAGAAATCATCAGAGAGCAAGTTAAGCTTCTGTACAAGCGCCACAAGAACACTGCATTTTCTTGGCTGAGAAACATTTTCCATGACTGTGCTGTTCAGGTAAATCAACACAGCCTTTTTTTCACTTTTGTTGTACTGTACTCTTTCTCTTGATAGTACAACTTACATGCATGTTTTGTTTTTTGCTTTTCATGTTGTTGAGTAGTCATGTGATGCTTCACTGCTGCTGGACTCCACAAGAAGGACCTTGTCTGAGAAGGAGACAGACAGGAGCTTTGGTCTTAGGAATTTCAGATACATTGAGACCATCAAAGAAGCTGTAGAGAGGGAGTGTCCTGGAGTTGTTTCTTGCGCAGATATTCTCGTGTTGTCTGCTAGAGATGGCATTGCTTCGGTAATTTCCTCTGACCCTCTTTTAGATCAACTCTTGTCTTCATTAACAGCACTTCTGTCTGTGGGAGTTTCTTAACACGGTCTTTGTTTCACTCAGAATATGCTCTTTGCACTAGATCCACAAGATCGGTGGGGGTTTCTTTTGTTTAACCTACTAACCTTTGCTTTCCCAGTCCTTTGAGGTTTCAATTCCTAGTTTTAACCATCATAAGTATTTAAAAATCCTAGAGGTGGTATTTTCACCTCTTTTCCATAAAGATGTTTTTGCCTTCTTATTTCGTGAATTACTACTTGTAGCTTTCAGGCAGGTAACATAATCCTGAATTTACTTTCTTTCAGCTTGGAGGCCCTTACATCCCTCTCAAAACTGGAAGAAGAGATGGCAGAAGGAGCAGAGCAGATGTTGTTGAGGAGTATCTTCCTGACCACAATGAGACCATCTCTGCCGTCCTGGACAGGTTTTCTGCCATGGGTATTGACACCCCTGGAGTCGTTGCCCTGCTAGGTAGACCTTTTATTTTTACATGAATCATTAAATAAATGTGTATGGATATATCTTGGCGTCCGTTTGCATGGCTAAGTTTCTACATTTCGGTCTTATTGTGCAAAACAGGAGCTCACAGTGTCGGCAGAACGCACTGTGTCAAGCTGGTGCACCGTTTGTACCCAGAGGTCGATCCTGCCCTCAACCCTGACCATGTTCCACACATGCTCCACAAATGCCCTGATCAAATTCCAGATCCAAAGGCTGTGCAGTACGTGAGAAACGACCGCGGCACACCCATGATACTGGATAACAACTACTATAGAAACATACTGGACAACAAGGGCTTGTTAATTGTGGATCACCAACTGGCTTATGACAAGAGGACCAAGCCTTATGTGAAGAAAATGGCCAAGAGCCAAGACTATTTCTTCAAGGAGTTTGCCAGGGCCATTACCCTCCTTTCTGAGAACAATCCTCTCACTGGTACCAAGGGTGAGATCAGGAAACAGTGCAATGTTGCGAACAAGCTTCACTAAAATGCTTTGGTACAACCACCATCTCATCTTCTCTTCCTAGTTTACGTGAGGGATAGAAGAGAGCAGAGTGTGGCAGAATAAAATGGTTGTTCTAGTCCTGGACCAGTTTGTTAATGTGCAGTGATCAGTAATATCAGGGGTACTGGTATGAGATGATCAATCTGGTGACTTTGCTCATTACATGCCCTGTTATTTTAGCATAGCTAGGTTTCTCTTTTGTTGTTGCTGAGGTTGATGTTGGTAATGGCTCTGGTGGATGTATGTATGTATGTAAGGATGGTGTTGATGGTGTATGATGCATGGATTTCAATGATTTAATACATTTGATGATTCATGCTTGAGCCTTCTCTTTCATGATGTCATGGTGATGACTGATGAGTGCACGGATCAAATTAATGAAAAAGACCACATCCCAACAACAAGAAGAAATGAAAACTTTAGTGAAGAGACTATGCCCTCAGGTGCCACCAAGTTGGATAGAAGCCAGACACTAGCAGCAAAAGCATAAACAATAGCCAACAGTGGATATTAAAACAGGTTGAATCTTGGATGATAGAAGAAAGATTTTCCATTATGTCAAGAAATATAGATTTTAAGCATATGAATGCAATGAAAATTTATCTCTTGGTAGTTCGCCACTGATATATGTAATTGTAGTGCAGACAGATGAATGAAGAATGAAGGTGTGGGGCCTGAGTCTCACTATCAAAGTTGGGAGGCAAATGCTCCAAGCATGGGCAGACAGTTATGGTGATGACCATCACATCATTGAATTTTAAATCTGAAGAACAAGCCAAATGAAAATCCTGAAGTAGCCTTAATTCCAATAAAATACCCATCAGGACTAAGGCTTGCCACCGGCCTTCCCAAAAATTCTGTACACTATCCCAAAAGGCTTATCAGAAGCAGGAATTATACTTTCAAGTTTCCAGTTCACTGCTGTATTTTCGAGTTTGAACAGACTACAAAATGTTCATCAAATTATGGTTAATGATCTTGCATGCTTGAGGCAGATTGGTAACTTACTCATCAAATACATGTTGCAATGCAGGACAACAAGATTCCTTACCCCATTAAAAAACTTAATCTGTATCATGATCTAAGCAGCAGTGGAAAGAACATGAATGCTTAACTTTTAAGTCACGCACATGATGTGAAGAAAAGGCTCATCGAGATGAATTTATATCACAGCTTTCTTTTACCAAGTTCCTTTTCCTGTAATGATAATTTACAAGAAACATTGTATATGCATATTCAGGCCACTACCTACAGCTTGGTAATGCCTCTTTTGGTTCTTCCGAACTGCTAGAGCTGCTATCTGAGTCACTATCCAGTGCCAAGGATGCCGAAACATCCTTCCTATTGCGTTCTATTATCTTAGGGATAAAAGAACTGGAAGAAGGGTGATTGTAGTAAGACTGTGGATGGATGGAAATGTTATTTGCATTAGTTGGATGAGATCGATAACCATATGAAGTTGGATAAGTAATGGGAGGAAAGACAACTGGTGGAGGCCAATATACCATAGGCATGAAAGTATTTGCTGGTTGTGGCGGAAACAAGTGATATGGGGTTTGATTATGGTAGGACACATTGTTTCCAAGACTCTTCATCATTGGGTTTGAGATTTGTGTAGTTTCAGCTGGCGTCTGTGATTGTGTGGACTGAAATGCTGCCATTGCATGAGTTTGGATTGAGGTGTAGGCCATCAGCCCAAATTGGGTACCAGGTGTTGAGCTCGACGGTGCTGATTCTTGAACTGAGGCCTTTGGAAAATTGTGGGACTTGCTGCTGGAGTTTGTCTGCCTTCTTCCCTTTGATTTTGTTGAGGTAGTCTTCCCAGTTAATTGCTGAGAACTAGGACTAGCCTGCTGAAGAAGCAAGAAACTTAGAACTCAGAAACTATCCTTTAATCTAAAAGAAAACTGGTAATGGATTCAAGATGAGATCATAGTGCCTATAGAGAAGGCTCTTCTATCATGCATCACTAGATAACAACTGCATTATATCATTTCCATCAGAATGATGTATCCTTCACCCTATCCACTTAATTTTCTAGAGTCAACTTCCATTGTAGAATTAGGGACAACATACAAATATAGACACAACTGCAAATTCCTCCCCTAAACAAGGGTTTTTACTACTCAAATGACTCAGAGCATAAATGGTTTTTATGGGGATTTGATGTGGTTCCAACACTCATTATTGTATGTTAAGAAATAACTCATAGCTCGTAGCCAAATCTCCTACCATGTAGAATCAGGTTTTCTCCTCGGTAACATGGCACACTGGTAGTACCAAGCATTAAAATTGTCACACCAGCAAATGGAATCTTAAATCCTTAATAACTATAAATGAAATGTAGTACGATGTGATTCAGGAATTGCAATCTTACAGTGTCAAAAGCTATTGGATGTGAAAGAAACAACTCTTCATCTTCAGCATCTTCGTCTGTCCTGTAATATGAAGGTTGAATATTAAGTGAACTGCTCTATAAGATTCAGCTGTTAAGTGTCTGTGGATATTCAGGAAAGACCATGCAAATAGCGCAAAGGCAATGAGAAGATCAAACACCTATCAGACAGATATAGCAGAGTAATCTAGGTGGTTGTTTGCTAGTTTACTGAACCAGATTAATTGCAAAGGTGAGAGATTATAAAGTGGCAAACTGCAATCTAAATCCAGTATTATGTCCTCTTCTTCCATTCTATATGTACACGTTTGTTCTACAAGTTTACCATTTCTGTGGAACCCCTTTACCTATAATACTTTTGCAGCAAGTCTAAGTTCCTGTACTTTGTTTCTCTTTGAACAAGGTCATCAGGAAAACCTGCCATGAACAGAAGTGTGATGCCCAAGGCCTTGAAGAAGAAGCTTCCACTGCGAATATGGACTAGCATTGCCATTCGGCACATGACAGGTCCGAAAGACTTTAGTTTATTTCTTCCCATTCGCTGCCTGACATATCTGGAAAAATTCAGCCCACAAGTATTTCTAGATTAGGCAGACGAGGTACAAGCTCAAGTAATTTTAGGTGAAGAATAAGTGTAAAGCTATGGTGTTTATCAAGAACATTCGCATCAGTCAGGCTTTTAACAGGCAAGCACTTAAATAAGAAATGAATTGTGGTGTCTAATGGTGTACAAAAGCTAACAATAATATAGCAAATCAATTATCAAAGCCATACTCATTTTGAGGAAGATTTCTTGTCCTTCCACCATACTTGATGCACAAAAATAGGCATGATGGACAGCTAGGATCAGTAGGACGCATAGCCTTCTCTTCCTCAAGTATTTGAACAGGACATAGTGTTGGATTCTGTCGGTTTGGATAGAAAACCTTCCGCTGGACACCAGGATTCTCATATAGGACATGCTCCTGTGATTAATGAATTTAAGTTTCTTTCCTGTTAGTCAACTAAGATAACGTATCCTCCAGATAACTTGGAACGAAGGCCATAATTTCTAAGGGCAGAAATAATATATTAGAACAATGAAAGCAACTATTAAACTACTGGCTCTGATCATAGCGAAAACTTATATATCTGAAGCAACTATATTAGTAGCTGTCAGCTGAGCAAGGTGAAGACAATTCATTAACATCATAAAGTTGGGTTGCTTACCCCTGGATTCTTTGAAGAAACATACGGATCCCCCTTCCTTAAAATGCTGAAGTGATTGAAGTCTAACTCATACATATCTTCACATCCATTCCTTATGCCAAGGGATGCAAAGACAATTATCTTCCTTATGCTGTGTGACTGAGCATTTTTGAATAAAAGGGCATCTGATGCAAGCATTTTTCTTATTTCTTTTGGACAGAAAGGAACTTTCGGAGGTTTCTTATTTGAAGATGTCTTTCCAGACACTGTATGACAAGGCTCTTGCCCAGAAGTTGCCATTTCTGCTGGAGACTTGTGTTCTCCATTCTTTTCTGTTTCCTTCATGACATACTTTGGGTTGTTTCTGTTAAAAGCTACTTGTATATCCTGTAGTGTGTAGTTCTTTTCTCTATTTTCTTTTATCAACTGGCTAGTGTTTGTAAATGTCAGCTCACTCTGACTGGCGGAATAACTTTGCAGACAAGATACTTGCATTCCTGGGCCAACACCATCCTCATGAGGTTGTTCTTCATTAGCACTTCTTAGATTTTCCTCAGTTTCCCTATCTTTATAACCAGTATTAGGATCATCCTCTTCATAATATTCATCTTCGTCATCACTGTCATCTGTATCCTCACGATCTGCAGCAAGGTCACTGTCTTTAAATTTATCAAAATGCGAAAAAAGAGTCTCGTCCATGCTCATCCAGTTAACTAAGCGATCGTCCTGATTTTCATCTATCGAAGGCATGCATTGTGTGTCATTCTCTGCTTTAGAGGCCATTTCAGTTTTGGTACTCTTTCCATCTTCAGTTCTATGACTATATGTTTCTATCTTCTGTCTTTTGAACCTTCTCTCTGTGGTATCAAGACAGCTGACCTGTGAGAGAACATAAGAGGCCAGGCCATTAAGCAGTGACAGTAGACTTTTGCTTGGATTCAGCTAACAGGTGAAAAGAGCCAAGTTAGTTGCTTTGAAATAGCATTTGAAAATGGAAAAACAAAATATATTAGCTCTATGAATTACAATACCATGTTTCATGAACAAAATTTTCACTGAAAAAGTCCATTATTGGACCATTAATCAAATACCAAGAACTTGAGAAGGCAAGAAGATAAAACATATTCCAAAAATCTACAATGTTCATCTCACAGAAGTCACAATACTACTATTTTTTGGCTTTGTGAATGAGATATCAGAACAGCTTCCTACCAGAGATAAAAATGAAATGTGCATTTGATCATGTATGCTTAATTACTGGAAAACAATGCATATTTGAAAGAGATGGGACGATAATAAAAACAGACTAAACCAAAGTGGGGAAGCCATACTTTTTCATTGGTTAGAAGAGATTCCTTCTCCCTTTCTTGTATTTGGGCTTCAAGTGAAGATATTCTCTTCATAAGCTCTGCATTTTTTTCTCTCTCTCTTTGCAACTCAGCTGCGATCTCTGCAATGACATTTACACTCTCTCCCTTCATATCTTGCTCTATTGCACACAGTGCAGAAGCATTAACCAAGCTGGCGCAGGATTGAAGTTCCACCATTGGAACTGAGGAGCTACTCCCAAAACGAATAAAATCAAATATCACATAACCAAAGTATCCACCAAGGAAAACCCCTGATAAAAGCTTCACAAGAAAAGTAGAAAATATTTTGTCAGTAAACAGTGCAACTAAAGTATGCAACTTTAAGGGAAACCCACATAAAAAAGGTGGTTTTGTTTTTTGAAAACCCAAAGTAGATTGGTTTAGTTTACTGTTGATGTTCAGATGCTTAAGTCTACAAGAAGAAAGACCATGTCTATGTCAAAAGAGAAAGCAGGAAGTTTCTCTTGAAAACAAAGTCAGAAAACTGTCAAAGTTGAAGCAACTTGTTCACTTACAAACAAGAAAAAGTTAATGATAGGACTGAGAAGTAAGAAGAATGAAATGAAACTGATGTTTAAAGGGAGAGAGAGAGAGAGAGAGAGAGGTTAGCAATAAAAAAGATGAGCCTTCGGCGTCTGGTTTTCGTTTGAGAACAGCGAGCGGTGAGGCATGCAGCCCCACGTGCGTCTCTCTCTATGTGTCCACTTTCTTTTTAATCTCAAACTAAAAAAGATCAGATGTAATCTGGATATGTAAAGCCCCCCACTTTATTAGATTATCATTTGTTTGTTCTATAGTGGTGAGGCTGTGCCCCATTTTTAAGCATCCGAGGCAAGGCACTGGTTAAGTAATGTTACTCTGTACTAGAACAAACAAAAACTAGAAATGTAATTATACAGCTAGAATGGATATAAGAATTCTACTCACTTCCAAATAGGACACAGATCAAAATGTGGTGGGAGAATGTCAATGGGGAATGGCTACCCTTTTACCTGACCCACTACTCTTGGAAATGATCAGATCTGCAACTTCTGTTCCTGGTTTATGTATATCAAGAATCTAACCATATATCACCTGTCTTCCGTAGTGAGGACCCAGTTTCTATGCCATTGGACTGTATCTGGTTTATGTTGATGAGCATGAAAAAAATCAGAATAGATTTGCTTATTGAATACTGTAGCTCAGTGACTGTCTCAGGCTTAGCAGGTTGATGAAACTCAATATAGATTCCAAGCTTGAAGAATTTTGTGCTCAGACGGGGTACAACTAAGTACCCATTTGAATCCAAGCTTGCTAAAATGCATGAAAATTCATCCATTCCAATTTGGTCAGAACCAATTATCAGATTGACATAGAATTAATCTTAGATTAATTAAGTAAGCACCCTTTTCAATAAATTGATTAATGTGGTCACTGTATTCAACTGGTGAAGGTCTAAGTGAAGGTCATAGTTTAAAAAATGTACCCCAATTATCAATACATAAATGCAAAATGACTGACCATGTCCATGGGGTTATTATGACTATGATTACTGAAAATAAAAAGATGGGAAATTTGCTGTCTGTCTGGACTAGGGAGCAGCACTTCCTTTTCCCAGGTATAAAGGAAAATGTCTGCACACACGTGCATGTAATTTGCTTAATGGGGTACAAAATACAATATAGAAAAATAACCTCACGTGGAAAGTGTAACTTAGATGGTTGTCTCTAATGCAGGTTTTGTCAGGGGAATATGAAGCGAAAACCTTGGATACCATCTTTCTAATTTTAAACTAAACCCCACCTAATTGGGCACCCTCACCCTTTAAACAAATGGTTCATAAAACCAGGTACGTTGTAGTTCATGGAGGAGGACGAATCAGCCCTCAGTCTGATCTTATAGACAACACATTTTGCTATGGGCAAGGTTGTATTTTTCAAGATATTCTACTTTGTGGTTCTGTGGAAAATGTGCTGGTGCAGAAAGAAGAAAAAGGAGTTGTATAATAATGAGTACATGCACACCCTTTTGATGATTCACTGGCTTCCTGGTTAAAAATCAGTAAAATATTAACAGCCTTTGCAGCTAAAGAATTGCAAGTGGAGTGGGGGTGGTGTAAGATGCATTTTGTTTTGTCTGGTGAAGTGTGCTTGATAAGGTTGCTGATACTTGCGATATTCAATCCTCGGATGCCCTGTTTATGTTTTTGTTTGCCCTGGTGAAATGGGGACTGAGGGCTGTAACAAAGCCTGGCAAGTGGTTACGACCCAAACAAGATTGAACAGTTTTCCATCAATGTCCTGTCATATGTAGTCGTGAACATCAAACCTGAAGCAGACAGTTCAATCTTCTTTTGGGGCCTGAGAGCATCTAATCTGAGCCTTGCTCAAGCTAATGAAGGTGCAACAGCCAGACAGCTGTATGATGAACGTGCTGTCTATATGCTTTCCGTAATCTTGCCATTGATGAAGGTGCAACAGCCAGAGAGATGAGATTTTGGAATTGAATCCTAACCAAGCTAATGATAGGTTGAGGAAAAGTTCATTAAGGACCTTAAGTTTTCTTCTTATTTAAGTATGGCACCTCTTATCTATCAACAGCTGACAGCCCCTGGAACAAATTTTTGGAAGACCAATGGCATGGCTCCAATCCACCCATAAACTCAGGCTCTAGTCAATGTTACCACCCAAATTCCTTAAGGTTTAGCTACTGGTTCTTCGAAATTCAAATTGTAATTCCTTTCATTGAAATCTGTCTGAAACAAACCTTATCAGTTACCAGGCAGGGATCTCAATTTATTAATTGACAATACCAGCTGTGGACAAGATTTAGGCTGCAGTAATATTGATGCAAGAGTAATTTGACAAAAGAACATGATCACGTTATGAGCCATTTCATAAAGATAAAAGGAATCACCCTAAAAAGAGAAGAATCAGGGAAAGAACTTGGAAACTGATAGATAAATTATTTAGAGAGTCGATACACATAAGCAATGCAACTTAAATCAATTTTAATTAGTACCCTCGATTTCTCAAACTACCCACTTTTAGAATCAGGATGGCTAAGGACCATACAAGAAAATGATCCTGGTCTACTGAGTCTATATCCACACCATACCTTCTGGTGTGATTTCTCTACTCCTGCTGACGCTGTTACACCACTTCAGTCTTCAGAAACTCAGTTGTTGGTTGGTAATGGAACCATCAATAATATCTAAAAAAGCTTTCCAGTTTGTTGTGTCCCACTTCTCATCATTGTGCAGAACTCCTCATAGTTAATTTTCCCATCCTGTTCAATTCAAATGGCATCAGTACCAGTAATTAATAACCTTATAAGAAGTTTCCAAAGTTTGATTTGGAAACAAACTTACGTTATCTGTATCCACCTCAGAGATCACTTCCCTGATGCTGGCTTCATCACTCATTCCATACTCCTTCATAGCTGTCTCTAATTCATCCTTTGTGATGTACCTGCAAAGAATAATACAGAGTGATAAAATATCTCAAACAAAGGGCAGCCTATAAATTTGTTGTGGAAACCCCTCAAAATTTTAGCTCCTGAAGAATCTTCTTATTCAGAACCTTTTAAGAAAAGATCCAGAAGTCATAAAAGAAAATCTGATGTTACTTCAGTGCACAATATGGTAGAAAACCAAACAATCTAGATAGTAACAGATATAACAGGATCACTCAGCTAGGCCATAGCCATTGCTTGCATGTGTATTTTTAACATTTAACAGGAACAAATTCATATGTTCTTTTGTAGAAATAATTAGTTCAATGTCCAATGCAGACAGTTTAGAATGAGATCAGTAAAATGATGCAGCTATAATTATGAAAATTGGAAACCTCAGGACTCACCCACTGTTATCTTTATCAAAATACAGGAATGCTTTGTACAGGTGCTCATCTCTTTCAAGTCTGTATCTATGCATTGTAGCTGAGATAAATTCAATATAGTCTATCGTTCCATTTCCATCCACATCAGCCTGAAATGTATTGCACATAATCCAAGGACGCCAGTTGAGTGTTAGATGCAAGCAATATTCAATGGTAAACAAATAGCAATGGTATCAGTTGAGGGGTAGATGAAAACTTACAGCTTGCATTAATTGCTTGACTTCAGCTTCAGAGAGCTTTGATCCAAGACGAGCCAAACCTGCCTTCAGTTCCTCATAGGTGATTGTGCCACTGTTGTCTGTGTCCATGTTTGAGAACATTGCTTTAAGACCTTTAATCTCTTCTTCAGATAGATTTTCTGCAATAACCTAGGGAATTTCCAAATAAACCAACATTATTAAATGAAGACAGAGAGAAGAACCATAACCATCTACACCACTATAACTCAAAGGTCTAAATACTTTCAGGACATCTGTTGCAAGAAAACATGTATACTGCATAAACTATCATGCTTAGGTAGATTAGGAAGGCTATAGAATAAGCAAAGGCCTGCAGTCATGGCCATGCTATTGTTTAGTAATAGAAGTGGAGGATTTATGGTGTGCATGGTCATGACAGTAGTGAAGTAGCTGCGGACTGGTGGGTGGGCAGCACTTGATAGTGGAGACTAGTAGTGCTGCTGTGAGCTGCCCATTGAAGTGCTGGCAATGGACATAGGGTTGATCAGTGATGGCAACATTGTGATGGTGGTGGTGTGGATGGGGTGCTAGACTACAAGGTGCAGCATTGGCCTATAATTGCACTGAGAACGGTGGCTGTTGTTCCATATGAGGAAATCAAAATGCCCATTCTCAGCTTCTTCGTCAGAACAAACAGCAATATGAGTACTAATGTGATTCTGTTCTCTGCATACTTACTGCATGCCAAATATGCCTATGGAATATTCAACTATAGAAAATTTACAGTATTACTAGAAAGGGCACTCTCACAACTGGTCCAAAAACCTAAATGTACCACATTTGCAATCATTTCACAATTTTGACTGTAGTTTAAGACAAACTTTTTGTATTACGGAGCTTCTTCAATCCAGTTTGATACTGTACCTTCAATGCAAGTTTCTTCAGCTTATTCATTGCCCTGAATTGCTTCAATCTGGAGAGAACTGCACTATCTATTGGCTTGTCTGATGCTTCCCCACCTTCTCTCATCCAAGGATGCTCTGACCATACCAATTATCACATGTTAATCAAAAGCATCAGAAAAAGACAAACATAATATCAGAAGATTAATATGAACCTATCTTAATCAGTTGACTAACAAGAAAAGACTGAAGCTAATATGATGTCATATGAATAAATCAAAATTTATAAAGAAACCATCAGACATTTAAATTTCTGAGGAAAGCCAGACCAGCAGACTAGACCAGACAAAACACCTCCGGTGACTATAACCAAAGATTGAAAAAGACTACAGACCAAGAACGTGCGCAGAGGTGAGCCGCTTTTTTGGGTCCATTGTCAGCATCTTTCGTACTAGATCTTTGGCACTTTCAGATATTGAAGGCCATGGTTGACTTTTAAAATCTAGTTCCCCTTCAGTAATGGCATCAAATATTCCTTTCTCAGTTTCTGCAATACAATTTGAGAAAAATATATATTTTAGTTAATTGAATACGACAGACAGCAGAATCCTACCGACATGCTAAAAAACGTAAAACTAACAAAAGCTTGATATTTTTTCTATTACCAGCCCAAAATGGAGGGACACCACTGAGCAGAATATACAAAATAATTCCAGCACTCCAGATGTCAATTTCCTTTCCATAACTACGTCGCAGAACTTCAGGAGCAACATAGTAGGCACTACCTACAATATCGCGATATACCTTCCCTGAGATGTTTTCCATAAAGTTTAGTATATTAGTAGCAAATATTTATTTCAATCAATCACAAAATAGAATAGTATCAGAAGGCATAGCAGAGCAACATAATCCCATCATAATGGCATCTTTATAACTCTGCCACCTTTCAATTGAGTCAATTACTTTCTTACTATGCATCTGAAAATTGAATGCAACAAATACCACAAATTTAAGCAACAAAACAGTAAAATTCCTGTTGTAAACCATACACAGTATGAAGAAAGAAAAGACATATGGCAGTAGATATTGCAAATTATCAAATTTCTAATCAGATACATGTCTCATTCCAAAAATTTTAAAAGACATTTGAAAATAAATAAATAGCTCAATTCATTAAAACCATTAAACAGCAGGAAGATTGGAAATTTAACCTTCTTCAATAAAGACCGACAACCCAAAATCAGTTGCCTTCAACATAGCTCCCTCATCCTTGCTAGACAACAAGAAATTCTCTGGCTTGAGGTCACGATGCATCACCCCCATGAAATGGCAAATATGAACCACATTCACCACTGACCTACAAATAGCTGCTGCAGCTCTCTCGGAGTAATGGCCTTGAGCTATAATCCTATCAAAAAGCTCTCCACCAGCACAAAGCTCCATTACAAGATGAACAGATTGTCTATCCTCATAAGCACCCCTGAATTCCACAATATTTGGCTGACCAGACAAGTGCTGCATAATCTGAACCTCCTTCTTTATATCCTCTCTGTCTTGTTTGTTTTTCAGCTTTCTCTTCAATATTGATTTGCAAGCATAAGTATTGCCAGTGGAATTCTCAGTGCACAAGTAAGTTATGCCAAACTGGCCTCTACCAAGTTCCTTTCCAAGAGTGTAGTGTTGCTTAATGTCTTCCAAAGGCTTTCCTAATATTGTTTCTTGCCCTTGAACTGGCCTGCTGCTTGCTGGTGAAGGTTTCAATGGGGCAGGGATTGGTTGGGGCTGCCTCATTTGCGGAGCTTGAATTTGAGGCACTGACACTTTCTGCGTTTGAACTTGTTGCTGTTGATAAGCTGGTTGGACTGGCCTTGAAGGAGGCATACCTGATCTATAGTCATTGTAGTCAGGTTCTGACAGTTTGTGCTTGCTGCCACAACAACCCATCTGCCTACCTGGGAGTTGCAAAGAAAGAATTCAACTTGGGAATTGGGTTTCTTGAGGAAGAAACACGAGATAGCAAAAAAGGTTAAAGCTTTGCACAAAAGGATGAGATTTTTCAACCCAAACCCACATTAAAGTTGAGTTCTTTTCCTGTTTTTTTGCGTTTAGACTCCAAAGAAAGCTGTTAATTAATTAATAAAATACCACAAAAAATGGAAAACCAAAAAGGGAAATGCTAATTAATGACGCCAATTACAATTAAAACCAAAATTCAACACTTATTTAATTAATTACATTCGTGTTTGAATGGAAAAATTAAAACAAAGAAATCTTTCTATTTTTTTTTTAACTTTTTATTGAATTCAAACTGATGCCTAATATATTTTTTCCAAACGTGTACTATGAATAATTAATGAAATTAAAGAACAATAATGACATAATAAAAATGAATTTTTGAGGTAATTCATTGATTTTTGTGATATATCACAATCCTTCCTATCCAAATTACATCATTGTGAAAAGGATGGCTGTGGATACAACATGTATATATCAATTTCATCATGTGCCCAGTGGGTGTGAACATGAGCTTAGCAATAAAAGAAATACCCTGTCAAAATCAAGACTTTAGTCTCTATATTAATCGATTAAGAAAGACGATTATATCTTAAAACTAAGATAAATCAATTTAAAGTATAATTTCATCAATTTTGATTACTTTTTATAAAATCGAATCGAAACGAATGCTCACTCTGTTCGAGAGCACTAAGCAGCCGACAGAGCATATGGGGTCACGAGAGGAATGAAGTCTAACCGTCCTTTTGTCTTAATCAATGTTATTCAATGGTAAACTATTGCCGGAGACCCGCCGCCTACGGCCGAGATTGTTCCTCGAAAACCCAAAAACATGAGCTGTAAACTCCCCGTCATTTCAGGGATCCAAAACACGACATGCTACCTTTGATTACGGTATCGGCAGTGCAACTACTGCTGGTAATAAAGGATTTGCCAAAGTGGACAGGCTTGGGTGGGCTTTGTTGTCTTTGCAGGGTCGACTTTTGGGCATTGGTTCCACCATAAAGCCTAGGAGAGTGGTCTTCGGCCTTTTCCTTTAATGTGTTGGTAATTTTAATGACCGATTGCTTGAATCATTGGCTGACAAATGGATCCATGGACTTCAAAGCTGAGAAACAAACTAAAAAGGGCCAACATTCAGGGTCCAGCAGGAAATGACCCTAAGTATATTTGTATAATCGGATTTAAGATATCGAGTATTTAATAATATTTGATAATATTTATAGATTATTATACTCAAAATTTATCTGAACTTCAGATGAATGTTAAAATCTTTACTCAATCCTATCTTATAATTGAATATAGAGTACTCGATAATATCTAAATATTGATATAATTGAATTTGACTAATATAATCTTGAAACTTACTGAAACTTGAAATGAACACTAAAAACTTTACCCAAACTCTTTGTATTCGAACATAATGTACTTGAATGATATATTATTAGGTTAAGTACTTGTAAATACTCGTTCAATATCTACTCATTTACATCCTTGAACCCTAATTTGAATAATAAATAGAAATCAATTGAATTTAATTAATTCAAAATTTGTCTTAATTAATTAATTAAGAAAAATAATCTATTTGATTATTTCAATCGATTTTCGGTATCTAAATCTATTGGTAATATATTTTATAATATTTTAAAAATAAACTTAAAAAAAATCCTCAAATTAACTAAACCGATCAAAATAAGTTATTTTGGATTATTTTTAATTGTTATTATAATTCGATTGATTTGGATTATTATTTCATGAAAATTGAGGGTATTCGAGATCGAATCAAGTAAGCCCAACAAGTATTCCTATGGATCCACAAAATCACAAAAGCCTAAGTGGGAAGAGGACAACCCAGAAGCCCAGATTCTTGTGTGAAATTCGGATTAGGATTTCCTTTTCAATTTGCTAAGACTTTCACAAATCGGAGAGGCTTTATTTCCAAATATTGATTGCCGAAGAAAACTCCATCCGAGTTCTTCATAACCAATCAAACAACATCACAGTGGAAGAAAGAAACCTGAATCCTGAGACGACAGTGAAGAAGAGAAGATTTTGGTTCATCTTCAGAGCTTTCTTTTTCTTTCTTGGAGGGAAGAAGTCATGTCAGTTGCAATGGATCACAGAATGAGAATCTGAGTGAAGAAAACAAATTGAACTTTCAAAGCCCAATGAACCCATGATCGTCAATCAAATTCAAACATGGGTCCCTGAAAATATCCAGAGAGGAATTAGAACGAATGGTTCTCAAGCAAAAACGGAAACACCCTCTGCTCTTATGCTTTTGGAAAGAATGGCGACCGGTTGTCATTGTCTTGCCAAAAGGCGAGCAAAAGCCATGAACCGCCCACTGGAGTCCACCTTTGACAATTGTTTCTTCTTTGGCTACACATTAACACAACGAAACCCCCCCCTCTCTCGCCCATCTTGTCTACTTGTGGTAATCCCCGACCCCATGGTTTCTCCATCCATCACCTTCCGTCGAAAGCAAATTTGTTTTCGTCTCCCTCTGACATGCACCTTAGCTACTTGGTGACACAATGTTGTGGACTAATCTTACTTATGAAAAGACGTCACTCTCGAGCCTCTTGTATTATCATTGAATCAAATGTTGATTGATATTTCGATGTTTGTAATTTGTTAATTTTTAGTATAAGTTTGGAATTGAAAGTTACGGACATAATAAGAAAATGATTTCGAGGTCAAATTTTTATTCACATGTATGGGATTTTTTCATAGATATAAAAATATAAATGGTAAAATCTTTTATTTATTAGTATGTTTGCAAATTGGCATATTTCGGAAATAACCTATATATATATATATATATATATATATACTTTGGAAACAAAGGCTCACGCTCCTGGTTCATTTTGGAGTTTATTGTAACATCAGGATGGGGATGGCCCATGAAAATGGAATATTTTCCTTTTTTTCCTTTTCTGAAATTTGTACCAGAATTACCACTAAAGAGATCTTGGAAACACACTTCAACTTCCAAATTGTTTAGTCCAAAAACAGAATTTGGGACTGCCCCCTCTCTCCCTGTCTCTCTCAAATCAAAATCCTGCTTGAGCTCACTCGCCACTAAGTTGACTCAACTGAGTCGACTCAACCGAATCATTGCCCAAGTCAAAAAGAATATTGTAGTAGCAATTTTTTAATCAATCATTTACTTTTTTTGTTTTTTGGGTCTTTTGGTCGGGTGGCTAACAAATTGGTTAACCATCGAACCCTGTTTGGCTCCAGACCGCATCCCTGACCCGCCTTAAGTCCCGGCCCTTGAGGGTCCGACCCACGCCTTCAAAAACCGAAGCCCCGCCCATTTTCTTACTCCGAGCGTACTCGCGAGCCAAGTACTCGTGCGGGGGAACCATCTCCGAGTCAACGTCATCAAGCCCGTCATCCGAGTCGTGTATCGACTCCACCGAATCGACCCTGTAAATCTTACTCCAGTCAGGCACGTTCACCGGCGCTGACGTGGCCATATGGTGTCCACGTGGAGAAGCTGCTGCCGCCATGCCATCGTGGCCACGGAACTGGTGCACGATCCTAGGCTTCGTCGAAGAAGAATCATCGAAAGCCAAGGACAGCCCGCCCACGTGGCGGTCAGCCCGAGGCATTCGCCGACGTCCCCCCCTCACGTCCACGTTCCCGTTCCCATTACTCTCCGCCTCAGCGCGTGGACTCCATTCGCTCTGAGCATTATTGACATTCTGGTCGTCTCGGTCCGCCACGTTGTCGACCATCGACCAGACATCCTCCTCCCCGAGTTCCGGTTCGTCCGTGACGGCGTCCCCTCGGCTGTGCCCGTAACTGTAACTCCCAAGAAACCGTTCGCTTCTGCTGGTGGTCAACCGCCGGCCTTTCGCCATGAAACAATCCAAATATTCAACACCCCAAAAAAGAAAATTAAAAAAAACCCCAAAAACGAAAATGAAAAAGAAAAAAATCTATTCTAGAGAGAATCAAGCTAAATAAAAAGAGGGAGGTGAATATCAATTGGAGTCCATTAGCGAAGAGACTCAGACATAAGGAGGCCTAGCATGGGAGACTACGTATATATAGCATTTAGAGAATGAGTATGAGACAGTGGAAGCCATTTCATTTCATGTGAATTTGGACTTCATTTTGTCTTCATTTCATATCTTCACTTCACCTCACCTCCAACCAAGATGAATGGTGAGAATAGAAGACGCCAAGACTGTCACGAAACTATAAAAAAACACACAAACAAATGCTTACTGCCATGAACTTTTTTTTCAAAGAAAAGTGGGCTAACGCGCTGCTTTCAATGAGCGTGTACTGCACCCCCCCACCTGGTTGGAGGTAAACGACGATAACCAATTTGGATTTTTGGATAATCAGTGTCATTCCTTATTAATAACTTCACCTTCAAACTTTGGACTTATTATATAGTACTAAAGATTATATTTACTTATGAAATAATCTTTTATAATTAAGTAATATTATATAATAACATTGCATTAAATATAATCATTATAATAAAGTTGTGACGGGTAAATTTTAATATATTTTTATATGAATTACATTATTACTATTTATTTAACAGAACATAATTAATGATTAATAGGTGTTACTTAGGCAAGCATTTTCGTACATAAAAGATTCAAATGACGTTGATTAGATATATCCACGTCAGATTTTCATTCTCCTCTTTAGGTAGTGGAGCCCACCCATAAAAACCTATCTTGTTTGACTGCGTCCATTCCGTCCAAGCGGGTCCCGCCTCTCCACGTGGGTGCTCACAATTAAACCATCCTCCCTCTCACTCCATTAGTAGTTTGATCCTGCAACACGTGTAACGTTGGACCACTCCACACCCGCCACGTGGCTAATAGCGAAGGGTAATTTTATTGATTTATTATTTATTTTTACTAATTCTTTAAAAAGCAAAGGCTAAGGCTAAGGCTAAAGCTAATCATAGTGACAATAAATTAGCCTTCCCATAATTGATGTTTTAGGAGATTCTAAACAAGTTTATTTAAAAAATTCGAAATTATTATCTTGTGTCGTTAATGTATAATATTTATATATTTATAAAAAATATAAATATATATTTTAAAAGATTCTTGAATTAAAATTTATTTATTAATAAAATAGTAATATTTATCTATTAATAATATATCGAATTTTTATATTGATGGTGAGTTAAATATAAAATAGTTATATATGATATATCATCATTCTATTTAGTCATAATTTAAAAATATGTATTTAAAATTTTATTAAATTTTTATTTTTATATATTTATGAGGTGACACTTTGTTACTTAGTGATAGTGTATAGATATATTATGCTCGTAATACATCAATCATAAATAATTATTTTTTAATTCTTTTATTAATTAATTTGAGTGGTTTAAAGGTTAAATTAATCCCACTTGTGGGTGAGGATTAAGGAAAAGCAAAGTCTCTGGTGATGGGCACATTGAACGGTTGAGAATACAAAGGGGAAAGGCGGGGGGCCCTTTGTTGGTGGGTCCCACGATTTGCTTTGTCGTTTTGTCAAACAAATAAAAACCTTATCACCTATTTCACCGTCATAACAAAAACCTCGCAATCATAAGGCCGAAGAAAAAGCCCAAATACAAGCCTCGTTTGCCCCAAACTTCACCCCTTAATTTTCTTCAAATAATAAAAAAATTTCGAGTTTTTTTTATTTTATTTAATCAAATTTTTATTTCAAAACGAAAATATAATCAATATTATTTTAAGTAAAAAAT